GAGAGAGAACACAAGGAGCTTGTGTTGACGACTCGGGAGGTTCACGCTCACTTCGCTTGACACTTCACGTCCTCGAGGAACTTCTTCTGCTCGGCGATGAGGTGCTCCTTCTTGGAGTGGTGCGTCTCCAGCTCGCAGACTCTCTGCTGTGCCGCCTCCATTTTCTGACCCTGAACCAGCAGGCTCTGCCTCAGCGTCTCCACCTCTTTCCCATAAGACAGCTTCAGCATCTGGGCCTCCTGGGTCGTCGTCCACACAGGTACAAAGAGCAGGAAGCAACGAGAAATGAACGAGAGGGTGAAGGAGACACAGATCAAGGATTGTGGAGCATATATATATATATATATATATATATATATATATATAAAAAAAGAAAAATGTTTATAGCCATGTGACAGCAGCTCGTTCTTTCCATGGTAGTGCTATGGGGAGTTTTCAGTATGCGTCACTATTTTTCTATGCAATAAATGCTACTTTATGCCATCATCTACAGCACCTGTGAATGTGCTTTGACTCAGAGTAACCCGTGTTACTTTCTTTTTGTACACCTCTACGTCATGTGGTGCATTCGATGAAGCTCTGGTCATCCGAAACTTGAGTGTCAACTGAGAAATGATATGAAATAGTAATTTCAGGAGAATATAGTTTACAATATGCTAATTATACAAGTGTGAAAATGCATCCAAAGTGTGGATCTGTAGCACAGTACAAAGTACAGGAGTCAAATCTAGGAAAACAAATATTGGATTTTACAACAACTCAGGTCTCCCAAACGTAGCAGATAAAATGCACTGCTACTTGAGTGTTAATAGTTGCGTTATAGCTGGCGAGAAAAATCTGTCAGCGTTACTGTCTGACTCATTATCTGAGCTACTCTATACAAAACCCCCCAGAAAATGTTTCAGTAAGATGCACGAAGCAGGCCTCTCCATGATCACAACCAACTATGACGTGCATTTCACTCAGGATGAAAACATCAACAGAAATAAAAAGCCAAAAAACTATTTGGAACATGGGTAAGATGCAAAAGGATAACATCTAGCGCAATTGCATGATGCGACAAATATACATCATTTTCTAGTATAGAATATTTTCTAACTCAATTGATTACTCCTTTGGAGGCAAAAAAGTACTCAAAAGCACAAGTTGAAATGAAGTTAATCTACAGTCTACTTTTTAATCTTTGAATGATTGACCAACCCCCAAATCTTATCTGTGTCGGTAGATTGCATTCAAAAGGTTAGAACGTGTGACTTTAACACTGGAGGGTTAGTTCATTTCCACACCTGAACTCGTCAGGCTCTGTTGAGGGTAAAACACACAAAGAGCACTTAGGATTTACTTTCCTTCCTTTTACCGTCGGGGAAGTTAACGGATGGGAATTCATGAGCAGAATATATTTTACGATAGACTTAACAATAATGGAGATTGAAATGAAGTCTTTTCTCACACTTAATACAACTATATTTTAAATATTTATAACTATGATGACCATGACATGATCTAGACGGATCATCTTACAGTGAAGCTAAAAACGCTTCAGCGGGACAGTTTGACTTGGCGCCCAACAAACCCAATTAGTGTCCCTTTTTTCACCTCAGTACGTCTTCTCCACAGTTCTCCCACACAGACAATTCGTTCCACCGTACCTTGGTATTGTCGGCGCCTGCGTGGGGTAACTCCTGCATGGACAGCTTATGTGCCTCCCCGAGGAGCAGCAGCTGCTTGTTCAGGAAGCTCATCTGCTGCTGGGTGCTCTCACTGTTGCTCAGCTGAAGGACACACGAGACAAACAATGTCGACGGAGGGCAAAACAGCAATTAAGCTACAAACCAAACCTGTCCAGGAATATCTGGGAGCGCATCAACAACGAGCACGGTGGAATTAGTCACGAATGATCTCTCGCAGAAACCCGCTGAATACTCAACAAGCTGCGCCCAACGATCCGTCTAAACATTTCAGTGTACGCATCACTCTAAGGAGCTTCTTTATGACACTGTACAGACAGTCTCTGAAAATGATGTTAAGGTATTAATCCACGCACTATGCAGTCTATTCATTCTGTCTGAGTATCATAAGTAAAGAACCTTTAGTCATCTAACAGCCCGTTTACTGAATCAACTGCTCCGTGTTTGTCAGGATTTCGGGTTCAGAGGAGGGAAACAGACTTCAGACAAGCCCCAGGAGGCAAAATAAAACCACCCGGACCCCCCGTGATGCTGACCCAAAAATAGAGAGGGAGAGACGGCATCTCCAAGGCAACCGAGCCCTGGGACAGTCTGCGGTCTGTGGAGAGGTGGCAGGACGAGGACATGCGCTGCTGTAACCCCAGATGTCCTTCAGCCGGCTCCACTCCGTTTAGAAAGGCAGAAGGAGGCACACAGGAATCTTTTGGGATTCAAATTTTACACTAGATGAGCCAGAAGGGCAGCAACCAAAGAGTGCTGCTCATTTAAAGGGATAGTTAGTATTTTTTTTTTAAAGTGGGGTTGTAGGCGGTCTACATGTCTGGAGCGGCCTTTTAATCAATGACCTGAAACTAGTTCACTCAGACCATTAAATAGGTCTTCCTTTACCTTGATGGTCATCTGGTTGAGGAGGTGACCGGTGTGGCACACTTTGTTGTTGGCCCTCTGAAGCTCCGCCTCCAGCTCATCTATCCTCTTCTGGCACTCCTGCAACTTGCTCTGGAGAACCCGAACAGAACCAGATTAAAGAGAGTCACGTTATATCTTCTAAAGGTAACTACGGTGGACAAATATAGGTGTACTTTATCATTATCATGAAGCTGCCTTAAAACATATACAGTTATTTATACGTTTGTGTGCCTGTATCGAGATCTGTGTATGTGTGTGTACCTGGAGCTCCTGGTTCTTGGTGTAGTAGTCGTCCCGACCCTGCTGCAGCTGTCTGATCTGACTGTGCAGCCTGGTCACCACCGTCTCCCGGTCGTCCCACAGCTGCCTGTACCGCTGCTGCTCCACCTGCAGACTCTCCCTCAGAGACACGATGTCCACACTCTGCAGGTTCAGCTGGTCCTTCTGCGCACATACACACGTTAAGTACAAAGAGTACGGGAGTTTCTAAACGTCTGTTAGAAAGAACAGATGTTTAAAAACACTTTGCAGCAGTTTGTGGAGTCCAGCTTTTTTTTTTTAAGCGAGGGCAGGACGGACATATAAGACTCTTTTTTTACCGTCACATAAAAGGTAATTACTGTGCAACATGTTCAGCCGATTGCTGAGTGAACCACTCATTTACACTTCATTCCAGAAGACAAAACATTTAATACTGTTTTTTTGGGGGTCTCCAACAGGGCTAATCTGTGATAATGAGCGCGTGCACACTTGCCATAGCGTTGTTCTGCTCCTCCAGCGCGGTGGCGTTGATGATGCGTCGGAGGAGGCGTCGGTTGCGGACGGCGTGCTGCTCCCTCTTGTAGCGCTCGTACAGCAGCTGGTTGTGCAGCAGGAGCAGCTGGCTGCGCAGCGTGTGAAGCTCGTCCAGCGGAGCAGAGCCTGGGGAGGCCACGGTAATAATGTAATTAACACTGTCACACGCACACGAGTAGAAATCAACTCTATTATTATTAAAGTGTGGAATAGCACAGGTGACGCAATGAGATTTCGCCAAGCCATAAACGCTGACAGCCTGCTGGTGTAAATATCCATCATTTGCAATAAACAAATCAAGTTTTACGTATCTCACTTTACAAAAGGGAACATTTGCTGACCGGTCACGCAGTGACGGGAAACTAGAAATGCTAAACTATTTTAAGGGCATAGATATTTGCTGGCTTTCTGTAATCCTTTAAATTAGATTTTTCACAACACAAAACGTTTAAAAAAAAATCGAATTTGGATTATAATGTGCATCATAACAAACATAATGACAGTCATGTGATGCATGTATATTTTTCTTTCCAGATTATTGCAGCAAGTCATTACATATTTTCATGAATGAAGCAGTCATTTATGATTTCTTCAAAGCCACAGACTCCTTTGACAAAAACTGTTCCTCGCAGAACAAGGGAGTTTCTTAGCTGCCTTAAATCGGTATTGTTGTATGTGTTATTGTGAGTCTTCGGTATTTATATGGTTAGTTTGGATCCATCAAAGTCACACAACAACAACAAAAACTGACCATGGCAACTTCCTTGTTAAGCAAGGTCAAATTACTGTTTTTGTCAAAAGGAGTCTTGAGGCTTTGAAGAGGACTTCCTGTTGGAAAGGGCTGTCTGACTGCATAGCAAAGCGGTGAAAATATTGTAAATATAGCATACACTTAAACTAATATTGATTTTGTCTAAAATGCATTTTGCTGCTGCCCCTGGTCCACAGCAGAACATTGCATCGCTCCCGTGCTGGTACTCCTGTCTGTTTCTCCAAACTGGGGGCCAATACGACATACAACCCCACTTAAAAAAAAATAAAAAATCCAAACTACCCGTTCAAGGCTGCCGTTTACCCAGTTAATCACATTACAAAATATATTTTAAATGTTGTACTCTTCAACCCCTACAATTGGCCAACATTACTCTGGATACAGAGCTTCACAAGTCAACGCGTACGAAGGGGAAGAGAGCACGGAAGGAACATTTAAATAGAAAAGTATCCTGAGAATTTGATCCAAGACCTTAACAGTGTGCCAGAGAGGTTTCGTCAGTCAGCCACAAGCTCCGAGTTGAGTTTTGTTTGAGATGCAACCAACATTACATGACTCCTATCAGCCAACCAGGGGAGATGATTCAATTCTAGAGTTGTAATTAAAAGTTGGTCAAGAGTATTAACAAAACAGGCTCTGCATGACTGTGGGAACTCTGCGTTTCTGATTAACTTCCGCTGAACAAATTCCCTGTCTGGCTGGGTAACATTTCAACAGGCTGCTCATGTCTCGGAGCTCGTGACGAATCCCTAGTCATGTCTGAATAACGCTCCATCTGCAGTCTCCATAATGGCTTCTTTTATCAGTGTATGGCAGGCTAGTGCTGCCAGTGTTTTACCTCCAAAGTGCGTCCAGTCAGCTGACTTACTTGGCAAAGGTAATCTGGAAGAGCAGAGAAGGAAAGAAAAACATTTTAGAAGAATGATCTCTCTGGGAGGTTTCTTCTCTTTAGTGATTCATGGCAGTCAGGATACGATCATTTTCAGCAAGCAAAAGCAATTTAAATGTGTGTATACGTGGTTTAGGAAAAGCAAGAGTTTCTGGTGTTGAGAATGGGGGAAAAAAACAATTATTCTGTTGCTAAATTCACCAACGTTCCATTGATGAACATACTATATCTCAAACCAGGTTTTAACACAACTGCTGAGGTATTCATAAGGAAACACTGCAGTGGCTGAGGGCAGCTTTAGACGGCCCAGACTGCACTAATCTACGCTGAGACAACGTGGGTGAAAGGTGTGGAAAACACAGGTCAACACAATGGAGATATAGCCCCCCCACATGTTCCCATACACAGCCAGGATACTCTTAGATCATCTTAGCTTAGCATAAAGCATGAAGGGGGAAACGGCTAGCCTGGCTCCGTCGACACAGATAACGAAATCCTTTGATGATCCCCTCTGAAGTTCACTAATTAGCACCGTATATTTATTTTGTTTTACGTGCCATTTCATGGTCAGGAATTGCATCGGCGTGAGGTTGCTGGACAACCAGCAGAGACTTTTGGGTTTTTTACTTTATATATAGCCTGACTGTAGCTTCATATACAGTATATTAAACAGACATGAGTGGTATCGATCTCTTTATCCAACTAGATAGATAGATAGATAGATAGATATCTTTAAATAACTCAAAACTATTGTCGCTTTTGAAACATAAGATCTTCCTCTCCTGAAACACCCAAAAAATGATTGTAAATAAATTTCCCTATTGGTCATTTGTCTCAGCTGTAATGTCTTTCCGCTGATTGTATTCCCTCCATCCGGCCGTGTTTGTTTCCGATGAAGACAGACGTCGGGGTGATGAGCCACCGAAAAGAGCAAAGCCAGATCGTTCTGTGCCCAATGTGTACTTTGCTGACACTGTTGCATTATTGGCCCGGAGGACCGGCTGTGTGTGTGTGTGTGTGTGTGTGTGTGTGTGTGTGTGAGAGAGAGAGAAAGAAAAAGGGCCGAGGGATTCTGAACAATGTCGTGCTTGTTCTGAACTGGGTGTTTCCTTTCGGCCGCGGTAACAGACTGGAAACAACCCAGACAGGCTGTTCACAGTGACCAGCACACCGAGACTCACAACACCCTCTTTCACACCGACAACACACTCCAAGTCTAGAGAGCAGTCAAAGAGCAAAAGTCAAAATGGTGGAAAAAACCTGTTCAGGTGTAAATGGCTAATAAAAGATAACAAAATAAAAGCCAGAAAACCTCAAATCAGAATCGACCTGTGCGGATGAGAAGCTAAGCCCTTACCTCTTGAGAACTTTATCATGGGTGTCGCTCCCCTGCTGAACAAGGCGATCCAGCACCTCCAGTGGGGAAGCGGTCGCGACTCCTTCCTCCTCCCCGTCCTCCAGCCCCTCCTCCCGCTGCAACATCCTCTCCAGCGCAGCCTTGTGCACCGCCTCCGTCGTCTTCTGGCCCACGAAGAGCGAGGCCGCCCTGGGCAGGGCCAGGTCGAAGAACGACTCGTAGGGCACCGGCGCCTTGTCGCACGGGCTCGGAGAGAACATCCCGAACTTGGCCAAGTCCTCGTCCGGGGCCGAGGGGCTCCGGTGCAGGTGGTGATCGATGGGGGTGAACCCTGACTGGAAGGACCAGGACTGCTCGAGGCCGAGGGCTGAGCTCCTGCTGTCCCCTGCTCCACCTCCTCCCCTTTCGCTCCCGCCGCCACTGGTACTCGTGGTGGTCTCCCCTTTGTCCGGCGTGGATACTACATGCTGGGTGTTGCTGGTGGGACCGCCGGGCTGGATGTCGGAGAAGGTCTTGTCTTGTGCCTGACAGCCGGTCAGAGTCTCCGTGGTGAGATAGAACGGGGAGTCGAAGTCCCTCAAACCCGACAGCTCCTGCTTCTCCTCGGTAATCTTCAGCAGCTCCTCTGTGATGGCAGCTGCAGCAGAAACAGCATATGGGTGATCGAGGTGGACTTAAAGCGGAAATACTTCAAGTGTGAAGTACCTGCTATCCGGCACAGATAAAAACAACAAGGTGTCTGGGATTCTGTTTGGTTTTCTTTCCTCAAAGAGAGAAGGGAAATGTTTAAGTCTAAGCAGCTAGCTTTGGCAGCAAGAGCTTGTGCCATTTGGCAGATGCTTCCATGCAAAGTGCTTCACAGTACTGTAGGTGCATTTATTTTTAGTACGAGTGGCTCAAGTGGGATTTAAAACCAGTGACTGTGCAGAGATAGCTGAACACAAGCAGGTATATAAACAGGAGTGTGTTAGCATCCTGTATGTTTAGTCAAAGTGTGTGAGCACAGGTGCATTCAGCACGTGTGATCCAATTAAATACATTTGGGTTCAGTCAAAACAAAATACCGTATTGAATGACTATGAAACAGTTGTGATGCACATTGTGCTTCCCCACCAAGAAAAATCAAAATAAGATATTGGTTGTGTGAGGATACCCACAATTACGGCTCTTGGCTCAAATCAAGTGGACACTCACCCTCTTCCCTCTCTTTCTCCGTCCTCAGCTGAAGCTCCAGCTCCTGTTTCTTCATGAAGACCGACAGCTCCGTCAGAGTCATGGAGACGTTCTCCGCAGCGCCCGCTTCTGATGAGGCACAGTCACACAAGTGTGGGTCAGAAACACGTTGTCTCAAAGAGAAAAAGCCAAAAACATCGATGCTACAAATCCACCTCTGATAGTTGTTTTTTTAGGAAAGTTTGCACCTCGTTAAGATTAACGATCCAATTTTGCTTTCGCAAATAGAGATAGGTAGAAGAGACAGGTCTGTCTGTCAACACCCGAGTTGACTCTCTGATCACGTGGTACATCGAATAATCATCACAGGAGGAAAATGTGCTTTTTGAGGCAGACAGAGAGTGAAGTGCAGTAAAAACAACAAATATTACTGAACCTTTTAACCACGACTGAGTTAACTTCCTATCCGGGTTAAATTATTAACTCTGCTTTTCCACGGGTTCATTTTGGATGCCATTGAAAATTGAGGAGGTGTGAAGAACTTTACTTTGAAATTAACAACGATTAAATCACAGAGATGAGACACTTACCTCTGTTTGTTGCTACTTCCGCACTCTTCTCTGTATCTTTCACTGGTTCCTGTCTCACCAGCGCAGGCTTTCCACTTTCTCCATGTCGACGATCCTGGAAAGTCAAAGTTTTAATTCATTTCCTTTATCCTTTACGTTGGAGTGAATGATGTGGGATTACAGACCTCAAGGGCAGGCTCTTATAATTGCCTACTTCTACATTCATGCACCAGAATAAAGAACATTTATGAGACAAAAAACACCCCCAATCAGACTCCTGCTGAGAACCAATAATATGACTGCGAGGATTTCAACTCTTTTCTCCCGATGCTTCACTTCAGAATCAAAAGCATGTTAATGACTTTGCCTCCTGCTGACTAGGAAATGAGTTTTCAAGACGATACAAGTTAAGATCATTTGAATTGGCGGACACGTTTGTTTATATTTGCATGGACGTTCCTAATTAGCAACACAAGAGGAACAGTCTCCTGAATAATTAAACTATTGTGAAATTCAGAAAAGCAGCATTTGCCTTTTGCGCTGAAAAACAAAATAATTGAAAAAGTCCGTTTGTGAAAGTACAAATAAAATTCACAAATAGACATCGACCTGTCACTAACTCACTGACGGGGGAAAAAAATGGAGACAATGTTGTAATGAGGGGATAGAGCTTACCTTTCTTGGTGGACTGGACTGGACTGTGTTGGCTGGTAAGGAGATTATGGGGAAGTCATCTGATAGGGTGGGAGGTGGGGAAGAGGTGGCTGGAGTGCTGGAGGCAGGCGTTCCTTTTCCTCCTGCTCAAAAACAAATCACTGGTCAGCAGAAGAGAAAATTCCAGATCAGTGCACCAACAGCTCTCTTGTTAACATGCGAGCGCTGACCTGATGTGCATTGGAAGCGGCCGGGAAGGTGTGAGGCACTGTGGGAGAGCTCCGAGTTGGGCGACATGCCTCTGGAGGAAGGGGGCGTGGCCATGCCACACAACGAGGAGGGGCTCCACAGAGGGTCCTTCCCCCCACAGGAAGAGTTGAGTTCACCGGAGGAGTTCTGTGAAGAAAGAGACCCAAACGATTACAGCTCCGACAGAGAAACCATCACAACACAGACATAAGCTACCGATCTCCAAAGTCAGAGTTAGTGCTACGTTTACACAATAGTCAGTCAGGTTGCGTTGACGGTCTCAAAATCTTACATTCCACCTTGCAGGCTGAGGAGCTGAAGTGGGGTGTAATTACATGGTTTCCCACATTGGTTTATAACAGAGATCGGCCAACTCAGACACAAAAATAAAGGTTGTTGTTGTTGTTGTTGTTGAAGAACCTATCACGGGAAGATGCGAGTCAAGATCTGGGTGGCTCACCGCCTCAGCTAAACAATTTCTTGGGGGGGGGGAACCGAGTTGGTAGTTAGGACTCACTCTAATATCCAGATCCTTTGGCAGATCGTCCACCTTGCTGAATCCTTGACCTCTCTTCAGAAAACGCAAGTGTTGCATTCGGGATCCATTTACTGCGTTGTTACTGTTATTGCTGTAATGATTGTAACTGAGGGAGGAGTACTTCCTACTTGAAAATGTATGTAACATTAAGTAATATGATCCTGGACACTCTCACGTTGATGAACCTTTACTGAAATGTGTGACTTTCAATATACAATTTACCTGGTAGTGACAGTGGAGCAGGTGGAGGCTCAGCATCTTGCCCAGAACGACACAATTTCACTCAATGTACCCCCCCACACAAAAAAAACCAAAAAAAAAAAAAAAAAACATTAAATGGCGGGTCTCCTATGTTTTCCAAATTAAATTTCCATCTGTCTGGGACTGAGGGAGTGTAACTCAGAGACAAATACTCAGACAGACCTCCATAGTGGGTAGAAAAACACCCAGACCCAGGGGGGGGATGACTCAGAAACTGTCTGTCCACTCGCTTCCTGTCGGCATCTTAAAAAAGCAAACGTTGCTCCGATTGAGGACATTGTGTGGTTTTCAGAGGGAAAGCACTGAAGTCACTCTGCCTGACGGGTGACATATGGAGTTTAAACATGACCACGTGTACAAGAGCTGGCAGCAAACGGAAGCTTAACGACTAAAGATCTGCTCCCACCCCCCCTCGATCAGCTACCTTGCATCTCAACCAACATTCTGACAGCGTTATGATGAGCTTACCTGCCGTCTGGAGGTCTGTGGGCTGCGGGGGGAGGACTGCGTCCCTGAGAAGGGGGGCAAGGACAGGGGCAGCGGCTGCCGTGGAGTCGAGAACGGGGTCGAAGAAGAACTTCCTGTTAAGAAGACAAATAGTCTGATCAATCCTCAAATGGTAGCACCTACTGCTCTTGAGGACACTGCTGTTTGGAGTTTGTCCTTTAAACCAGTTAGAACACAGTGTTTAATATCAAAAACACAAGGGCTGTACTACTGCAGCACATACTCATATTAGTAGCACGACACATGGACACAACCAGTACTGACTGTTAATAACATCAGAGGGATGATTCCTTTTGTTTGCACTCTATCCAACATACTATTGCTAAATTTACATGTGGACAGAAAGATGCACTGAAACGGTTTATTCCTTCAACGGGGACACTGAGAACTTAAAATTCAAGATGTCAGCTGAAGTTTTGCCAATATTTTTATCCGACTGTACATTAGATCTATATATGTTGTTTGCATTCCCTTATCGCTATATTACCCATAAAATATTTCTCAATACATTATGTCCCAGAAAATGTACTTTATTATGAAATATTACATGTACGCTTTCACATTAAAAGAGTTGTTTATGCCAAAATACACGTGTAACATCCAAATGTGGCCCATAAGATTTTAAACTCTCACTAGATGTCAGATACAGATTACCAAACTGCGTTAGTTCCAGCATAAATTGAATCAAATGTTTGTTTTGTTTGTTACAAACGTAACCTATGGTGCCGTTAGATCGCTGCTAGACCGTCCGGTTAATGCCATTCAAAGCTGAGTTTACGTTTTTAGATGGCATGTTGGATTTTATTTCTATCATGATAAACAACGATGATATGTGAGGAGCCAAAACCCATCCTGATATAATGATTATGATTGCAATGTCCTGTCATATCACTACACATGTAACTACGGCAAAAACATATTTTATAACTGTATTTATTGGCTGATGGTAATAGAAACAGTTTCCACATTGCATAGTTTTTCCAACAGAGAGCAATGTTCATTTTTCACCAAAAATAAGACGAATGTTTATAGTCATGCGCTTCCTGTATGGTTGGGGCTCTACCAGGCGTCATACGTATGAGGGGTTTACTGACCAAAGCTGCTGTGGAGGTCTGTGTAGGGGCTGGAAGTGCAGTCTTGTGGTCGCAGGTGGACTTGGGGGTAAAAGTTCGCAGGCATGTTGGCGTAGCCCTCCTCACAGGAGGCCTCCTTGGGGTCTAGAGACACTTTGGCACATTCGATGACGATATCGTGGATTTCATACTTTTTCCACCTGCAGCAACAGCACAGCACCAATCGTCAAGGAGATGCGGTAGACTTGGAAAAGGAGATTAAACACTGAATTGTTCCTTTACAAGGCAGAGCAGTGCAGGACTTACCTGGCGGGGTCGAGCTCATGGTCCTTGGTACCCGTCACCAGTTCTGGGTGAATACGAACGTGTTCAAGCATTGGCTGGATGGACACAAAATCTCCATTACTACTTTGTAATAATGTAGAGTGACAAAGCACGGCAGCAGGGGTGATATCCTCACCTTCACTACTTCCTCAAACGTTTCCATGTTCTCCTTCATGCTGTAATGGGAGCGCAGGTAGGACACAAAGTTGCAAGGGTACATGCCGTAGAGACGGTGGAAGAGTGAGTAGACGCTGGCGTGCAGGTGGATTAGGTAAACCTCCGAAACGTGCCCTGAACGTGTCAGAAATATCCAATATTCAAAAACTTGAAACACTCACATATTCAACGACAACAGCAAGATAACCGTCTACAGTTGTTTGTTTTGGCCCATTTTGTCGTCCCAGACTTCCTCCCCTTTCACCAAAATTAGATTTCCGTGCTCCAGTTAACTGCCTGCGAGTTCAAACATCATCTAAGAAGTCTATGAGTAGTTGACTCTTTGGTAGATGAGATGAAAATACAGTAAATACAATATTCAAGTTGCTAAAAAGGTTTATGTAGTATGTACAGTATTAAAAGGGATATTTTCTGCTAGCAATACATCATATATCATTATCCTGTGCTGTACTAGAAGTTAGTGTGCGAGTAGTTGCCACCCCAAAGACTAGCTGGGGCGACCCATTCATACACACACGTTGCACCGACGTGTTCTGTGAGATGTGACAGGAAGCACCTACCGGGATTCTTAAGGTTCCAAGACGCCAGGCGGCCGAAGATGTCGAAATACTCCCACAGGTGTTGCTTCCCGGCTTGAGGGATCATGGGGAGCAGAGTGATCAGCACCAGCACTCCGGTTATCAGCACCACTACGTCCGTATCCGTCTGCCAGGACGTTTGTGACAAAGTCAGAGATTGAAAAAGTTGAAATTAAGAACTTTTAATTTGTGATTTGACAAAGACGGTTAATTAACTGTAGGTGCCAGAATGGGCTGGATATCCTTTAGCTGGGAGAGGGTTGAGGAGGCAGGTAGTTGGTTGGTTTAAAAGCAAACACCAGCCTATTGCAGCATACTATGCACATAATCAATATCTCATTTGACCAAACAATGATTTGCTAAAATCATATCTGAAATAATTGAAATATATATATATAATAAGCCCAGCAAAGTGGAATCTTATACTTACACTTAAATCAAAGCGTTATTGACGTAACGGAGCTGTCCGCCATTCTCCGTTATGAACGTACTCGTCACTACCGCATTGCATTGAGGGATATTTATGTCGCAGAAGGGTCCAATAATATGCAATTCACATACTGTTGGTTTCATACTAAGGTTTCGAATATTCTAAAACTGTTTCAGCGCACTAAAGAGCATAAGATTCCAGCTCAACCAATGCTCTAAGAAGTCTACCTGTGCTGTTAGCGAGAGTGTGTTGTTATCTACACGTCTGCTTGCTTTGTTCGCAAATTAAACAAATATATATTGTTTGATGGAGCACCGAAACCTTAAAGGAAATTATAAATTATAAGAGTCCGCCCAAATATCACACATGCTATGCGATTCTAAAGCAGCTGGACGAGAACTTCCGTAACCGTCGTCTGTCCACATGCCTCTCAGTGCCTTGAAAAGGCCTTTGCTCACCGAGTCACAGATGGGTGGTTACCTTGAGGCATTTGAGCAGCGACAGCAGCAGAGGGTATCGAGCGATCTTGTGGATCCAGGACGGCTGCTTGCGGATGACATGGCCGAGCAGGGTGAGGGTGGGCAGACGGCAGGCCTGTCTGGTCATGCACTCATTCATCTTGTCCAGAAGGTGCTGCGATGGGGAGGGAGGGACAAGCAGAATTAGCTCTGTATTCAACACAATAAGGTGGCTGGAGTTGTTTTTCTTATTAGTAATTGATAAGGAGAGGAAACTCTGTACTCTAGATCATATATTATCAAGTTACACAAAGAAGTAGCACCTACAAATCACCACTGTGATTCTATGCCGACCTCTCGCGGAAGTTGCTACGAGCGTTTTGATTAGATGCAAATTAAATCATAGGAGACTGCAGAAATAATGACAATTACCTCAAAGCCCGACACCACAACACATCCACATCTTAGTTTGCTATGGCAATATGCAAATACAAACAACAACGAAGCAGTGGATGACATCACTAAGAGCTGAGGACAAGGCCACCAACACAATTAATGCCTATGTTCTTACAGAGTCATTATGTGAGTGTCCTGTCCTCTGTATCAACAGTGCTTTCAGTTCACTAGTCTGGTGTTTTTTAACTTAAGTTTTGTGTCCGTCTCAAAATGAGAATCCAAAAATGAATGAAGCTATTTAACGGTGCTGAACCACTCACTGTTATTTAACCTGCTGTCAGAGTGAGGGAATGGTTTGCACACAGTTAGGAGACTGAGAGTCGATGGTGAAAATACGTCTTCTGAATAACCCGTGTGAACTTACTACCCCGCTAGCGACTGAGCTACGCTAACGAGCTCGAGGAGCTTCCTTTTCCCTCGTCATTATTGAACACAATTCCGGTCGGATGTAAAAAGAACGGTGGGAAAAATTAGAGAATTATGGTTGCAGTCAAAGCGGACAGTTTTAAATGTCCTTCACTGTCTGTACTACGGGACATCCCACCCCGTAAATAAAATGTTGTCAGACCTATCAGCCTGTACTCTTTTTCTAATAATTGTTTTATTTTACATTTAGAACAGAGTCAACTTTTTAAAAGCTGTATAGAATAACTGATCGTGATGGAGTCTGTTGTTTGACCTCCATGTTACTCAAGTATTTTACATGAAGAGCTAGAATCCTATATATAAATCAAATGCCCAGATTGCTGGGCCTGTCCCTCTCAAACTACAGAAAGTCAAAACATGAATCAATAGTCACGGGGAGAGGAACGCAAAAAAAAAAAGAAAAAAAGTTGAGGAGACGATTCAATCGGAAATAATTGATTTCACCCAAAACATGTTGCTGTTGTTGTTGTTTTAAATCCTGTGTGTCTCTCACCTTATCATGTGGCTCTCTGACTGAGGAGAGGATATGCATGGCCTGGGCAGAGTTTGTTTCCAAGAAGTAGTCCACCAGCGCGTTCAGCAGCATGGATCCTCGCTCTGTAAGGAAAACAGGAAGGATAATTGGGATAATTGTTTATTTCTTTAAGAAATAGCAGTGAGCATACTAAAACCAGGAAATCCCACCAACAGCGGAGCGACGCTACAAGAAGAAAAGTCTGTGAAAAGAGATGGTAAAAAGTACATCGAACCTGGGTGATGAGGCACAGGCCAAATTGACAAGTAAAGTTACAATTTCTCAAAGCTCCCCAGATATCTGAACACACAAGGATAAACAACTCCGACGGCAAAACGAGCCAAGCCGCCCTACCAGTGCTGAGCTGCTCGTTGATGAGGCCTCTGATCTCGTCTAGCTGCTGGAGGTCGGAGGTCTCAAGGAGCGGGAGGAGGTCCCCCACGTTGGGCTGCTCCCTGGCCATGGTCGGTGGCAGTGCTGGAGGGGGAGGCAGCGTCTCTCTCTCTCTCGCGGTGTCCGTCCCTGCCTGCCTGGAGGACTCCTGGGGCCACCCACCAACACAGTCTCCAGGCACCTCTACATCACACACAGAGAACCAAATTCATAAACATTCCCAGAATTGGCAAGCGCTGTGATCTGGGATTAGTAGTCACATGACAATACCGACCGAGCACTTGGAAGCAGGGTTTGTGCTCACGGAATTTTGTCCAAACTGGTAACTCATCAAAATGACTCAGACATGTGATGCGGTGTAGTTATTGGTGACAACGGCGGAACTATAATCCCTAACAGGACTGTTTTCATAAATTATCACAAGTAGCAAAGATCACTAGCAAACTGTCCGCTGGCAGCACTGGCTCGCTAATTGAAATGGCAAACCAGATTAAAGAGTTCCGATGTGTTTTTTGGTTAACCTCTACTAGCACGATGTCTCGTGCACACCAACAGAGCACACGCGTGCGCCTGTACATGCGAACGTACGGGCGCACAAATAACGAACCGATCGTGCCTGCCAATAAGCCCTTTCCAAAGCAGCCATTTTGACAAGTCATAGTGAGGTAAACACAGGTGTAATTGATCAAATCAATTACAGTACCAGTCTATGTAGTGTGTCATAGCCATTCCATTGAGCCAGTATGCACATTACCCACGTTTTGGGCTAGACGCAGAGTCACCCATTCAAATTAAGAAGGAGGCCAGGGAGAGCCTTGCAGAATCTCCCATCTGAAAAACAGGGGATAAATAATCCTGATGGGCAGGTCATTATCGTCAGGGTGTCTGCACCCAGCAGCTTATTCTCTAACGGGAGTAATGAATCAGCGGCAGAGAGCCTCATCAGCTCCTAAGATCTCCTTTCAACACTTAGGACAAAACACTCCACATGCTGGAGGACGAATCCCACCAACTGTTCCATTAGCGCGGGATACTGAACCGTCCCAACGCAGTCACGTGCTACCGAACCCAAGACGACAGGAAGAAATGAATCAAGTATCAGATTTCATCTTACTTCCAATAAAGTCAGTCAAAACCTATCACGATAAGGTTATTCAACGAGATAGATATACACACACACACACACACACACACACACACACACACACACACGTTTTCTGGTATACCAATAAATGTCTGAATGAAATAACCACACGGTTTTGTATACTCTTATGTGAATTAAATACTTTTTTTTTTTTTCCTCATTCAATTAAGAGAAATGTGATTGTGTATCACGATATCAAATTGCAGTATGATTCTATGGAAAGACGATAAATTATGAAGTTGAGCCCTATTTTAGTTTGTGACAAACCAAAGATCTGATGATTGAATGCTCTCCTGTTTGTTGATTCACAGAAGAGGTCACGGCACAAACGTCTCCCTGTTCAATCAATTAACTGCTCGGTCACGGGGTTTGGGTGTGGAAAGTGGAATCAAATGACGCGGCTGGTTGTTTTTTCACCCTCCGAGCAAGCGTCTTCGGTGGCACAACCACGAACCCCGTTCAGCGTGAACTCTCGCCGGAGGACACAAAGAACCTTTATGCAGCCCGAGCACTGGAAACTACATTTGGCAAGCGGTTTACCAACAGCCTCCATTTTCTCCTGGGTGAATAATCAAAAGCAGTTTCATAAAGCACACAAACAGCCTGCTCAGTGCACTCGAAGAAATGGTTTTCATCAACCCAACCGAGAGCCGGCTCATTTAGCTAAATAGCACATTTCCTTTTATCTGCTCGCAGCAGGAGATGAAAGGAAATGTTGAAGTGGTCTGCTGGACCAAATAGGGCTTGAATAGGCCAAATAGGGCAACAACTGACAATTATTTTGAGTACAGATTACATCATGTTCAGAACTATTTTTGACTTATAATAATGACAGCTTTCTGGTCTATTTAAATATCAGAAAATACAGCAAAACACTGATGCCTTCAGGTGTCTTGTTCTGTCCAAAACCCAAAAACTTTCATATCACATCATGTCATAGTCATTGATTTTGCTGGAGACATTAACAATTAATCCATCATAAAACAAATCAATTCATTGACTTTTGACAATAATTAGGTCGAGTATTATCCAAACTTTTACTTCCTTTATAGAAATTAAACTGGAACCTCCAAAATGACCAAACAACACCTTTGTAAAACCGTTTCTGAAAAACATTAAAACCTCTACGAAATACAGGTTTCAGTATTTCCTTAATTTAAAAAAAAAAAAACACCAGTGACAAGAACACTTTGAAACTTAAGGGAATGAAATGCACAGAAAACACAGCTGAATGAATAAAATACAATTCAAAAGTATTAGAGCATTTCAGAGACATTATTGTTTTTGGTTATCTGGTCAGACATCGAGCACATGACTTCAGTACCTCTGTAATCCTATAGCTACAGCCCTGTAAGATATTAGTGTTTTCATAAACTAGCAAAGTTGTGACAAACAGACATTAAACATGGCGACAGCCCAGCATGATGTGAGAGTTGGGTCGAGGAGGTCAAACTGTGAAACTAGTGAAGCATTTTGTCTGCATGGTGGCAGGAGAGCCTGATAAGGAATGAATGAGCACAAGCTAGCAGGATATTAATGATTGACATGATAATCAAATGAGAACAGGTGTCATCCATGAGTGATTGCAGACGAATGATATAAAGCAAAGGGATATGATGCAGAAAGCTGCAAGAGATATGCCACTGTGATGCATTATGAGGCAAACAAATAAGCTAATAAAAAACACACACAAAGGCTATAAAGACAATCTGTTATACCGACATGCATAATGACAGCCATGCCGGCCAGAACCCGGCCGAGGTCTGAGGCTGAGAAGCAGCAGAGCTGCTGCTGTATGTGGACTGACCACTGGCTGCTGCCTGTCGTAAACAACTCGCTGAGAACAATGGGCAGGGTTGGGTTTACTTTATCCGATTATACAAACATGCAGGCGTCTTTCCTCTGGTAAAGAGACAACCTCGTCAAACCCAACAGACAACGCAGATGGAACCACAATTAAACGTGCAACGTCTCCAAAACCCATCACCGGGTCTTTCCAAAAACAAGTCAGTCCCAACGCAGAGAGCTAACGTTAGCTGGGAGCAGCGACCCACACTCGGTCGGGGATTCATCTTGCCTGTCAGCCGCGTTGTATCGGCGGAGAAGCAAGCCGAACGCGTCGTGCGCAGTACAACCAGTCACATGCGTTGAGATTCGCTGCAAGAAACCCACAGAAGACATCAATAATCGGACCTGTTTACCTGTTAGAGTAGCTGCACTCCACAGGGCGCCGCCATCTTTAACACCTCACAGCCAATCCCGCCGCAGTCAGCCTCCGCTGTCGGGCTGCATGCAAACTAATCCCCCAAGTTAGCGCCTCGCAAGTCGCAACCGCAACTTCAACAACTTTTTCACCCGAACAACATCTAAAATAAACTAGGTTAATTATATGTATGAACACAGACGTAGTATTTAATCTGTAACCCCAGATATAGTTTTGCTCTGCTGCAGAGCTAAAATTGTTTTTCCCATCTCCTCATTGGTGGAAGGATGAAATGTGTGTAATGCGGTTTCGCGTGACCCACATGTGAAGAGCGCACGCGCAAATTAGTTGTTTTTTATCCCAGGTAGTGGGGAGATCGATATGGAAGCCAATTAATGCAAAAAAAATAAATACAAATAAAAAACAGATGCAAAAGTAGAATGTATGCATGTATGGAGGGGCATAACTGAGATACTGAGGCAACAAATTACGAATTTTAAAGACAAAATTAAGTATTAGTTCTATATATGTTTGTAAGTCAGAGTTATGAGGTGATGATTCAAACTGTTTTATTTACATCCTTTATCAGAATTGGGACTTGTATTTTACATTTTTAGATGTAAAAGGTTAAAATGCTCGCCCAATTATGATGCCAAAAGTTTAACCAAATATAATTTGATATAAAAATAGAAATGGTGACTTACCAGAATTCTTAGTAACATGACTATTTTTGGTTTGCCATTCCTGACATCTTATCTATTTTTTTGTCTTTCCTGCCATAAATGTACTTCCATATTCTCAATACTATAAACTGGACATTTATTTAACATTTTGGTACATTCAATCTAATATAATATGATGCTCCATCATTGACGAAATGTCTGCAGTCTGTCTATAAGAGATTTATTCTGATTGAGCTGCTGGCTGGACTATAGGGTGCTATACAGTGTATTTTATTGATATTCATATTCGACCAAGGCTTTACATGAAGCTCTATGAACTTGCCCATCTGACAAGTCAGCTACTTTTTTTATACATATAAATTTATGTAAAAACTGGTGTGTAACCATAAAGTAAGCACACATTACATAACATATTTCTAAAGTGCTTATTAAAAAAATCTGTTCAAAAGTGTTGTGAGATGGTCACAACTGAGTGCAACTGATTCAGAAGTCTTTTATGGATGAATAAATACAATTACATATTATAAATGCATCTTTTATCAACGTCCAGGAAATACCCAAAGTCCCAAACTTCAATATAAGCGTCAAGATTTTAGACACACACACTCTCCACAAGATGTCGCACTTGCACTTCTTTCCTCGTATACATCCTCTCCTCCTCCTCCTCCTCAAAATGTTTCTCGACTCTTCGACATGAAGTTCTTTAAACATAATTTGATTAAACAAAAAAAACAAAAAATAATAATAATAATTTAAAAAAAGAAAAACGTAAAAAAGCTCACTCATTTTGTCATTTCAATCTATCTTGTCACTGTGCTCATATATGACACCAGCATCCTCAGTGTGAAGAAATCTCTTGTCTGAATATTGACATGCTTTAATAAACAAAGACAGAGTCAACAGTGTCGATCTCCCAGACTGGTTTAGTGTGTGTATCTTTGGAGGAGCTACGGTCTCATGTGATCTTTTGGCCGTTTGTTAAATCTTGCACACAATACTCCGAGTAAATCCTGTAAATCAAACATTGTGAGGTGGAAATAATGTTGTTCGGATTTTGTTCGTTGGAAGAACTTACTTTTGTTTTTATGCTTTTTTTATGAAAGAAAAAGTAACTTAAATTGATGTATGTTTGGTTTGAATTTAAATGTATTTCTAACAGTGCGATTAGGCAAACATGGAAACAAACTGTCTTTCATTTAAAGCGCCGAAACGCTGTGCTCGAAATATTCATGAGCTTCAATTTTATCATTTGACCCTAACGCACTACATCACTCTGTCTACACTAACTGTTCCAGTGACAGCTAAGGCCCCGTGTTATATGCAAATTTCCATCTGCAGGTTGGCCTTCTCATTGGTTGAAACCACAGTCAGATTCCCCTGCGAAATTATCTGATTGAAAATCAGGGCGGGGAGAAAAAGAGAGAGCAACAAGTGTGATGTTTTTTTTTTTAAACACTGCTTTGCTTTTCTGACTTTTAGGAAGGGATTTTTTTGCGACGCGTCTTTCCTCCGCAGAGCCGCTTCACACCCAAAAGAAACGAGGACAAATATTATTGTTAATAACTGCACTTTTCCTTTCGACGGGGACCTGCTCGGTTAACGGTGAGTTGAGATGTGCCGACTACAATAACTTCTAGACCCTGCGAGTGAAACTTTTGACGACTTGTTTTCCCCACAAATAATAGAATCATTTAAACATCTGAAATATTTAAACTTCTGTTGGCCTATCGACCAAGTATAAATAAATGATAATTCATATTAATCAATTAGTGCGTGAGTTTAATAGAATAAATGCAATAATAACTGAGTAACGCACCTGCAATTAACGACTGAAACGATAACTTCAGAGTAGCCTGACTGGAATTATATACATCAGTAAAATCTTAGATTAAAATGCTTGTAGTGACCGTTTTTTTTTTTTAAACAAAATGTGACATAAGCAATATTTTATTGACAATCATGCTATATTTAAAAAATAATTTATCGGTTCGCTAACGATGTTTTGGGTGTGTGCCTGTGTGTAGGATCAACATGCCCCGGTCATTCCTGGTGAAAAACAAGCGGTGCTCGTCCTATAATGTTCACCGATCACATGAAGACGAGCCTGAGGCCCCAACATGTAAAGGTAGGACTCGAAAAAAAAAACAAAACTGTCTGCTACTACTCGTGTCTTTATTTTAAAGCTGCTGCTGCGTTCGATACACATGCATATATACTCTATTACTGAAGTCATACAGTTCTACACCTCAATGTTACTGAATCGATGCTTCTTACTTAAACAGAATGTCCTCCAAGAAGTATTGCAGTTGTTACAGAGTATTTACTTGCTGTGCAATTGTTATGTCCATAACTTTTGAACACAGGGAGAAATCGCCCACCTTTCCTGCAGCCATGTGCTCTCAATCGCCTCCAAAACACAACAGCAGGCTTAAGTCAAATCAAATGGATTTAATATCCAAGAAGCATAAAAACAGATACAAACAGTTACAAACCGAATCACACGACTAATAACAAAACAAACATATAAATTCCATGAAATGTGAGATCCAATCCGAGCTACCCAGGAGGCTGGTATGCCTCCTTGGTGGCCAGCAGAAGATCTGAAATCCCCCAGAGTTTCAAACCCCTTGTCCCCTCAAAGTTTCATCACACAGAGCCGTGTCTGTTGCTTAGAATTCAATCACACTTTTATTTGCAGAAGACACATCGGAGGTCCAGAGCACAGAAGACAGTCCTCAGTCTTCCCCTGCAGACCGCTGCTCCTTTAAAAAGGAGGAGGCCGAGCTTAAACCCTTACCTGCTCACCCAGAGCCAGCCAGACCCCCCGTGGCTCCCACACAGCCATACTACCTAAATGGTGAGCTGCCAGTGCATTCATCTCTCATCTTTTCCTGCCACCTCCATAAGCTTTCAATCCGATGGGTGATTACATCTTCTTTTTTGTGTGTGTGTTTGCTGTACGCGTGTTCACCCCTCAGAGCCCCACATGGAGGGATTCACTCCTTACTTCAAGCCGTCGTACGGCTGGGAGCCGGTGCCGTCCTCCTACAAGCTCCGCCAGTTGAGCTTCAGCCCCACGGTGCTGCAGCACACCAGCGACCTGTACGGCACCCACATCAGTCGCAGCCCACAGCCTCAGCAGCCTCTGGACTGCAGCACGCACTACTCCCCCACCTCAGACACCTACTACCACTGTATCGCCTGCGAAAAGGTGAGCGCAACATTTTTTGTTGTAGTTGTGAAGCTTCTCGTATTTATCGAGGCCAACAAGGTCAAATCTGTGATCAGCTGGAGATCCAGTTGAACTTGTCAGCCACCTATATTAATGGACTCCCTCTCATTTAGGTGTTCTCAACGCCCCACGGCCTGGAGGTTCACGTCCGGAGGTCGCACAGTGGAACCAGACCTTTCGGCTGCAGCATTTGCAGGAAAACCTTCGGCCACGCCGTCAGTCTAGAGCAGCACATGAACGTCCACTCTCAGGTATGCCGGGGACTCAGAGGCGCTGAACAACACAACACATTACAAGCTTCTCTTTAGTGGGCTACTATAGTATCTAAAAGTAGCTATACACTTCCCTTAATGCCCGGTAAGAGGCCACATCTTTCCATCCCAACGCCTTTCGGTTTGTGACGTAGGCGCTTCGTTAAAAGTTACTCTTCTCTGTGCCCAAGTTGAGACGACCCGGGTGACGTCACTATGACATCACCGAGGTTATTATGCATCTGTAGAGCTCATTACAGGGCATTACATAATTTTTCACAGTCTGAGCAGTGTTCAGCGAGATGAGTGAACCCAACTTTATGTGTAAAATGGATGCATTGCCCCATTTTCAACAAAAGTTTCCCTGCTGCATTGAACTTACCTGAGTGAAGTTCAAAGTTTGTTCTTTAGTTGCTGAGTCAACTTCGCTAAACATGACAAAATACATTTGATAGATATGAAGATATCAAGATCATTAAAATTCGTTTAATCATATTGACTAAATGGTAATGGCTTATCTATTTACAATTCTTTAAAAGATTGGTTGATGTCACAGGATTAGGTTTACAAATAACTGCAAAAAACTTAAAACTGATCCAACAATTTCAAGACAAGGTCAATGGAAGAGCAACTTGCAGGTTGACTTTTATTTTTTTTTCTAAATTTATACTTAACCTTCCTGAAAAGGTAAAAGTTAATGCAGGATTGTATATGTTTTACATGACGTAAGGGCAGGATTGTATATGTTTTACATGACGTAAGGGCACACATTCAGAGGGGAAAGTAGCAGTTTTGAGCAATGCTTTTAAAAGCGTTTTTTTCAAAATAGTTTTTTTCATATTACGTAGGCTAACGGAGTTGCTGTCCTTGCCTTCTTTTTGCTTTGATGAATCTGTCATCGTGTCAATTTCAGTTTTCAGGGCCATAATGAATCGTGAAGCTTCAACCTTTCTGTACTTGTGCTTTCGTCCCTAAATCAGGAAAAAAGCTTTGAGTGCAAGATGTGCGGCAAATCCTTCAAGCGCTCCTCCACTCTCTCCACGCACCTTCTCATCCACTCGGACACGAGGCCTTACCCCTGCCAGTACTGCGGCAAGAGGTTCCACCAGAAGTCTGACATGAAGAAACACACCTACATTCACACCGGTTAGTCACACTATGCAGATTGTCTGTTACAGCAGGTGGCCATATATGAAACTGTCCATGGCTCCTCTTGCTGTAATCTTCTGCTTTCCAGGTGCAGCATGCAGGAATTGTTTTCAGGAGTAATATAACTACTGATAAATCAGAAAAAGAAACTTAACCAAATGTCCTGTGGATTTGCATATCTGGTTTTCCTGCTTCATGCGGAGCTCTGTGAAAGGAAGTCTGTGAATCTGAACAATGGCATGATTCTTCACCCGTAGTTATGCATGCTTATCTTTTTTTGGGGGGGGGAAAACCCATACCTTTTATGGTGCGCATAACAAACCTGAACTTCTCTCCACAAAATTATTTGGAAAAGATTTCTCGCTGGTTTATTTGTGTGCGTTTTATTTTGTAGGTGAAAAGCCCCACAAATGCCAAGTGTGCGGCAAAGCGTTCAGTCAGAGCTCCAACCTGATCACCCACAGCAGGAAACACACGGGCTTCAAACCGTTTGGATGTGACATTTGCTCCAAGGGCTTCCAGCGCAAGGTGGATCTCCGCCGGCACCACGAGAGCCAGCACGGCATTAAGTGAAGAAGAAGCACCGCAGCCTCATGTGTACCATACATTTCTACTCAAACAATGAGCTGGTATTAAGTTCTGGTTGAAGGAGATTTAAAAACAAAACAAAAAGTCACCTGTATCATGAAGAAATTCTTAGTATGTATATGTGTTAATATATTGGAAGTGATCTCTCAGAGATGTGTTTACATGTGGATGAATGCGCTATTGTCATTCAGATTTAAAATATGCTTTTGGCTTTTGATGACAAAAAGGCAGCAAGAACATTATTTTTGGATTCCTATAATTTATTTAAAGTGTGCTTAATGCAACACCTTGTATATAATACTTTCTGGAGTCCATATGTGCGAGTTGCTAAATGCTTTCCGTTGAAATAAAGTGTGAAAAGCAGGCACATCGTTGGTTGTTCTTCTAGACTAAAGACATGCAAAGTGAAATGTAAAATCATTTGCACCTTCCAGGCAAAAAACACATGCGCACCGTTTGTCTAAGATGAGCACTGCAAACACACTTTAACTTCAACACTCGCCTCTTTTATGTGTGTTTTTCCCAGCCACGCTCACGTCGGAGCAGGATGTATAACGACTAGCGACTGTGGCCTCGGGTGAAAATCTCTTACGGGACCAGAGATAGAGTGTAATGGAGTAACGCTGCATTCAAATGACACGCCTGGAACACCATGCAAATCCCAGGCCAGGGAGCTATTCGTTGTATTCGGTTTGAGGCTCAGCAACTTCCTCGAGAAACATAACTGGCTCTACAATCTCAGTAAAAAAAAAAAAAGAAAAATCACAATTCCACAAGCTGTCAGAACTTTGGCCACACACCCTTGTATACATGGAATGTAACTGCTTGGCCTTTACAGTGCATTGAGTCCAATGGGATACAGGGATTAATACAAGGCTGGGGAAAAGGGATTGAGCAGTTACCACACCCAGCCAGCCTTCTGGGTTAACATCAACAAACAAGCGCCGGATCTTAACGAAGACTCACCACCTTCCTCAAACACCAAACCTGTTAAGACATTAAGCTGCTTGAGGCAAATCACATCATCACCGGTGCCTTTTAAATCTGACACCAACTGGATGAACAGTTGTCAGAGTTTGCACAAATGTTTTGATCTTTTTCAGATACATCAGCACAATTTTTTCAGCTGCATAGATCTAAAAAAACACTTAGAGAGATACGGTATATAGAGCGCTAACTGGGACTAGAAAACACATCACACCTGTACTGAAACCGCTCCACTGACTGACGGTTGAGTAAAGAATTGAAGTTAAAGTGTCACTGCTGCTCTACAGGGCCCTAAACAGTATGGCTCCAAAACATATTCTCACTTGCTGTGGCCCAATCAGATCATCAAGCATGTGTCTCCTGAATGCCACGAGAATTAAAACTAAACCAGGTGAATGTGGTCAATATGATGCTGTTCTCTGGAACTGATAATCTGCGGTAACTGTATCTTCCTTGAAAAGCATCTTGAGACAGATCTCTTCTCTCAGGATTTTGGTAGTTAGAGTGTGTGTTCCTGACTTATGTTACCTTCTGGGTGTGTTTTACCCATCTTGTGGGGACATACATCTGATTACACAGTCACATTGTGAGGACTTTCCTTCTTTATTGGGACAAAATGCACATCTCCATTTTGTAGATCTTTACAATATAGGGTGAAGACTTGGTTTAAGGTTAGGTTTAGGATAAGGTTGGTGTAAGGGTTGGGTAAAGGTTAGGTGAAGGTTTATGTTAGGCTAGGATTAGGCTGGTATAGTAAAGGCAGTGTAATATTCCAGGAAATTAATTCAAGTCAATGTAATGTCCCAAAAGTCATGAAAACATGACTATGTGTGTGTATGTGTGTGTGCGTGTGCTTGCGCCTGTGCAAGTCCATGAGTGCAGTAGGAGTAGGATAGTTGTTAAATAATTTTATATTATGTATATGTGTGTGTGTTTTGTATGGTTGGCTGAAAGGTTGTATTCAAATAAAGTATTTTTATAATTTATTGTTTTGAGTTTACCTGCAAAAGTATTGATATAGAAATTAAAAGAAGTGATCATAACTTCCCCAAAAGTGTATTATTCACCTATGCTGTGCCACGGGGAGACACTGCTGCAGAAATCAGTGTCTGCACAGGGAACAGAGGAGACGTGAGGGCTTACGGTCTGGCAAACAAATCTGAGGTCTTTATGCAAAATGTGTTGGTATTGCCAGGGCAACAGCGCCTGTTGTGATCCATTACAGTTAGGACCTGCTGCAGCCACCGCTGCATCCTGGTGAGAGGAGACAGAGCAAATCACAATCCTGCACAGGTAACCAACAGAAAGAAGGGACATGCAGGGTGGAACTTAACAAACAGGACATGGGTCCTGAAAGGGGAGGGGTGGTGGTGTGTGTGTGTGAAGGGAAGGGGAGGGGGGGGGGGGATGCATGCACCTGTAACATTCCTTCAACTGTGTATAATTGTATGAGCATGACAAGATTGATGTGGAGTCATTTTGATTTAATTTAATATAATTTTTTTAACACAGATGTCAGAGGAAATAGCAGATGAGGACTGTGCTGGAGTTCTTTATGTGGTTATCCAGCTTTTGTTCATTTGCATGTATGTTGCCTGAGGCATTGTAGTGTCCTGAAAGCTGCAAGTGTACTTGATGGTTTTTCCAACAGTTAGGGCTCCACCTGGAAACAGTTTGTTAGGGAAGTGGGTTTTTTTTTTTTTTTTTTTAAATCAGAAGCTGCACGAAAAGACGCATTGAATATATTTTTAAAGTATTGTTTGCAGTGTGACTGCAAAGTTGCTGCCTAAACAGTGGAGTAACAGCACAGTCTGATACCAGAAACAGTCTCAGCACTAACAACAACAATGATCCACCAAATCTGTTCCATCCAAGAGACCATTCAACAAATAAAAAAGAAAGAAAAATCAAGTTTCCAAACATCAGCGCTGTGCCTCAAAACCAACAAACCCCAATCCAAATGCGGCTCCATCTCACACAAACACACACAGAACCTAAACATGGCAGAAATTTGTCTTGCAAATTGGCTGCATGCAAATGAACGCTGGCTGGTACTGTGGAAACGCTGCAGGATGGAAGGATGGCCCGAGGCATCTGAGGCATATTCATGGAGGTAAGAGAGGGAGATCTCCCAGAGATCTAAGAAAGGATGGAGTCTGAGTCATCGTTTACCGTTGGAAGACATCCGCCACTACCGTACACAAACCTTTTATCACATCTAATATCTCCAACTGAACAGTTTTTGACATACATGCCCCCCTCCCCCACAAAAAAAAATCCCATTTACAGTTGGAGGACCCAGATTTCTTCTCTGTTCATTAATTTTTATCTGATTTTATGTCAACCGTTTTAGCCGTTTCAGCAGTTTAGCATCCCAATGACTTGTTTTTCATGTTCCTCATTACAAATGACTGAAACACAAACCTTTCATGTCCTTCATAAGATTTTGCATTTGATGGAGCAGCATGTTATGTGCTTTCAATAAAATTGGGGTTTGAGCCTAACTGGTTCATTATGTTCCGGTTTATACAAAGAAAGACGGTTTGGAAGTTGAACTCAGGGGATAGGTTTGGCTTTTATTCTAAAAATGAAAAATAGTTTTTGTTCAAGTGAATCACAGGGAAGAGACAAGATGAAGCTGCAAATAAGTAGGCCTACAAATCTGTATGAGCGGTGTGACTAATATAGAGCTGCTGTTTTATAGTGCTTTCCCAGAATACACCTGTGCAAAAATACCACATTTCACAAACGACTGAAGTGTAATTTTATAAAGAACATAAATATGAGATGCAGTAAAAACAATTTTACAATTCATTTGAAAGTGATTGCAAAAAGACGATGCAAAGAAATAATGAGTGCAAGAACTCGGAGCATCCGTTAATCAACAGGGAGAAACTGGAAAAGTTTGGATGCTGAAGATCCAGAACAGGTTTAACAAAATGTATAAGTGAAAGGTGTAGGCCCTGAAGTCATAATAACAACCACAGGGAAGCTACGCAATTGCGTTGCCTTTGTAGAGTCAGTGTTGAGTGACATGCCAGTGATCCATCACGTTGTTATTTTACACCGACAGGATAATCCAAACAGAAACATAAGCTGTCAGCAGATTTCCTCTGCATGACTGGACACAGGGAGATGCTGTGTGATCACATCCGCTGCTGTCACACAGTGTCGGGGTGAGATACTATTTGATTGCCAGTGACACTGTGTTGTGGCCCAGCACGTCCTGCGCTCCCATAGATAAGTGCGGCGACAAAACATGCACAAAAGGCCACGCCTACAAAGTGTCAGAAAAAGACAAACTTTTCCTGTGGTGGCCTTTTTTGGGGATTGAATCGTCCATTTCACAAGTAAGCAAATCAACACGATGCCTTCAAGTCACACTCCAATGCTGGAAACAGAAAAGAAAAACGTTGAAGCTGCTCATGAACGCTCATGAATGATGACATGGTTACAAGTGAGAGCTCCAGAAATCATTTAAAGTTTAATTTTACTTTCTAAAGTGTGACGTTCAATGACCTTTGGACTCTTTGTCAGTCAGTGAAGGCCCCATTTACATGCATTCCTCGCAAAATGCATTTGCATTCGTCGCAAAAGATTAATTTATCGACACGCCCGTCTGCCCATGAAATATGCCAAGAGTGGCGAGCGCTGATACTGGCTGGGGCGTCCTGGGTACCAAGCGGTCTTGGACCTGAGCCATGTGGTGAGCGGTATCCCAGGAACCACATGCCATCCCCGTGTGTCCCTGTCAAAAGCTGTCCGAGAAAAGCAAACAATGCCATAAAAATGGACGACTTGATGTAATGAATAATGTATTCTTATTTTCTTTTCATTGATTGTGTTAACTTATCGATACAATTTTAAAGAAGGCATCATAGCAAGCAGATAGTCTGCTGCAGTGGTTCCCAAGCTGAGGATAGGGTCCCCTCTAATGGGTCGATAAATCTAGAGGTTCATGACATGATAAATGGGACAGGAAACACTAAAATTAGATGCGTTTCTTCAAACACTTCTGTGGTCTCTTTTTATTCGGTCCAATTACTGAATAGATTGTCTTGAAATTTTGTACAGATATTCATGGTGCACAGAGGATGAACCCTAACGACTCTAGTGATGCCCTGATTGTTTTCTCTAGGCCAACTTTACCTCAAAGCACGCTGTGCTATAGTTCATTCTATTTCACTCAAATTACTGGATAATTTTTCATTTCCAAGCCTCTAAAAGTTATTCAGGTAAAACAGGGAAACAAAATCCCTCTGATTATTTTGGTCATAATGCACAAACTTATTCAACCAGTGACATGGGTCAATATTTTGCATTTTGAGATATCAAAAATAAAACGGCTTCTGCAGTAACGTGACAGCTGTGGGCGGATCTTCACATCTGAGCCTCTTGAATAATTTGCAAAAGTGCTGCGAAAGCAATCACTGACACTGATCTTTAGTTTTGCCTACAGAGAGCGACAAGGCTTCGTAGGTGCGGCCTAAGGTTTACATCACACGCTCAAACATGGCCATGCATACAGAAAGCCCATCCAACCACGAAACAGTCAGCTGCAGGCCCAGAGGAAGGAGGTGCAGATGCCGAGAGAAGCGATGACAGGAGAGGAGATACGCTGAGTGAGAAGTTAGAGGGAGTGCGAGCAAAGGGGTGAAATCTGAGGGCAGCAGGCTCTTTCAGAGTAAGAGACTGTCTGATAACCTTATCACGGCCTCCCCACACTGCAACGGCCGGAACACGCCAGCAGAGCCGAAAGGGAGGAGCGGACAGGCCCTCGACTGAGATAGCACCAAGAGCTCGACCAACATTCGACAGACAAGGGCCCTGAGACAAAAAAAAGAAAGAGAATGATCATGTAAATCCTTACTTCACCACAGCACACAACAGATTGTCAGTCAGAGCCATGGGTGCTTTCTGTCCCCTCCCACAAAACACATGATGGGCCAGACTGGACCTCACAATGTATGTTTTTATTGAAGCTCTGATAGTGTTCACAAAGCTGCTTCAATTTTTCATAAATGGCGGCCAGTCCTACAGAACGCAGAACATGACAAAACTAACATATATGTCAGAATTTGTATGGTCCAAGGTTTCCCAATATTCCTCAAGTATATTCGTCTTTCAAAGGTGGTGGGTCGCTGACAAATCTGGTCTTAACTTGTCAGAGCAGGACAAGCGCAGGTGTTGCTAATGACGTTAACGACGGCTCCTGTCTATTCAGCTATCACGGTGAGCCTTGTGTGTCGTTCAGCGAGCCATCAGTAATGTTATAGATTACACCTGTGCCTGCTGCTGTAACAAGTTACAGGCCCGAGCCCAATGTCCACGCTCACAGACTTTGAGGTGCCTTCCTGCAAAGTCCGTGAGGGCCTCGTCAAGTGCTTCAGTGCTTGACATTTTTAGCCCTTTATGCACACTTTGCGTAAGTCTGCATTTCTGTGGTCCAAATCGCATACTTTTGTCTTTTTATGTTTAGCACACACTGCAGCCGCTCTTATTAAGTAGGTACTGTTGCATGCAGCATGCATTTAATTGGGACATTCTACTTCCTCTTAACATGGCATCTTGAACTTTGACCCTCTCGCTCATATATTGTGGGTCAGAATAGCCAGAAAAGCATGCTGGCTTGCAAACTGCAGAATGTGACAGGATGCAGAGGGACATACTGCATACTGCATTTGACCTTTTATGTATTGGGACATACTAGATCTTTTTTCATACTAAAATTTATGGTAGTTTTGGGATCGTCAAGGTAGCGTGATGTGTCGCTGCAAAGTGAGAAAGGTGTAAAATCTTACCCAGAGGCGGATGAGTAAATCCCAGTTTTAATCTTTGCGTATCCTGTACAGAGATGGATACAGCAACTGTTTAGCCTAGCTTAGCACAAAGACTGTAACCTACAGGTTTGAAATTCATTAGTTGTAGCTCACTATCTAGCATCAGAGTCAACCAAAAACAGCATCACATTCTCCAACTGACCTCCAATTAGGGGAGTTATTTTTCTCTCCCAATCCATACAACTGCACTTGAATGCACCATTCCAGCAGACTTTTCATTTTGCACACCAACAGCACATTTTCCACACAGGGACATCTCATACATATAAAAATATTTCACACAAATGTCTGACTGCTCTTTAAAAACAATACAATAATAATAATACAAAAACCTAATTCTTTAACTGAAATGAAGGTGATTAAAAAAAAGTGACTATGAGATGGCTAGAAGCCCACATTGTAAATGTTAAGCCTTGCACTCCCTTAAGGCACGGGAGAAGAAGACAAACTAGAATCTAAGCAAACACAGCGTCACATCAGACTATAATCGCCTACATAACAGCATCTTAAATAACTTGGTAAACACAACTGTTTCTTCAAAGTCTTCTGTCTTCTCTGAGGGGATGACGGTTTGTTGACAGTTTCTGGGAGGGATTTCTGCTGGGAGGGACAGCACACAAATCCTCTTTACCAAAGGCCCTCTGAAAACAGTGGATGTCTCCTTTTGGCAATACAAATACAGCCTATACTGTTAATGGCTGTTTAAATACCCAATCCTCAATATTAATTAATAATACATCTACAGATGAGACACAGAGACGCCGGGCTTTCATGAAGACTGAGTTACTTGAGTTGTTGAACTTTGATGGATGCATGATGCTTTTCCCACAGCCAGAGAATTTCCTCAACCGACCACATTTTGTTTGGTTTTACATCGCCACCCAGTGGCCAAATATGTACATTGAATTTGTTGTGACTGCTACTTTTATTGTTTCATTAATAATAGATTGCAAATAGAAGATTTTGCAATGGAAGATTTAGAGGACATGAAGAAAGTACAGGTGTGATGGGATGTTACTTGCATAATGTAAACACAGCTTGTATGCTAAAATTGATGAAATAACCCTTTTCAAGAAAAGAAAAATAATTTACAAGATAAAGGGACAGATTCATAATACAATCTTAAAGTTAATCAACTGAATATCTTGTTATGTCGCTGAGTCAAAGCTCTATAAGTAGGCTTTCATGCATTTCATGACGTTTTTGAGTTTCTTTCAGATATTGTTTTCACATTTTTTAATCATAAAGGTAAGATATATTATCCGTGATGGCTACATTTCAATGTTTGACTTAAATATGTTGACAATGTGGTTCATTTTAATTTTGATATCTTTGATATCGTAAACGAATAACACAAATGAGCCTGATGTGCTGAATATACCCGCGGAACTAATACGAGTGCGCATTTGTTTCCGCACGGTGTTATTTTGCACTTGGACACTCACTTCCCCTCCGCTGTAACTGCAGCAGGAATGTGCTGAGCAAGTCTTCCTACGTGTAACTTAGTTAGGTCACAGGAAACAGAGCGTTAGTATTATGCCCGCGTGAATATTACAATATTAATAGAACCAATATGGCGGATTCTAAGGGGCCGAAGCTGGATTTTACTCTGAAAGAACTGACTCTTTCCTGTCCGACTGAAGATGTGGATGTGCCCGGCAGCTCGTCCAGCGTGGTGCTGCAGGACAACAAACTGGTGTGTGTGGAGTATCCGGCGGTGGTGAACAGCGTGGACAAGATGCTGGTGACCCTCGGGGGTGTAAAAGGAGTGTCCAAAGTAAGCAGGCCATGCAGTATCTACGTGCCATACATTTACATCATTTTGTGATACCTATTACAATTCTAATACGGTATAATGTATAATGGAGTTTTCGAATAAGACATTGCATAGCTTGATAGTACATTCCAGGCTTTCAGAAACACAAAATGCAAATATGGCAACTGATTTTAATGTAATTCATATTCAGTGGTTTTATTTTCAATGTGATGTCAAGCATTCTAACTTATTTTTATCTTGTTTTGCCAAGTGTTTTATATATATTTTTTATGTGTAAAGCAGGATTACTTTCATGAAAGTTGCTTTACAAATATTATTGTTATTATTTTGTACTCTTTATTTGCTCTTTTCTCACATCCCCTACATACAACATCAAAGTGTATTTCGACCCTTTGCAAGAGATTACACTACTTATAAAGTCTCTACATATTTACAATTCAGCACGAAAGTATACACATATATCCAAACAAATATAATATTAACAACCATGAAAATAACCAATGCAAATAACACAAGGATATCAAAAGTATAACTAAACATGGGTTACACACACTACCTTACATAGGCACGCACATTCAGTCCAATACACATAGAATTTAGTCAAATACAGATTATCATTATTATTATTATTATTATTAAGATGGTTCCTGCTTTTTATCTTGAGGCTACAAGGAGGGGTTGAAATGGGCCTGGATGGTTTGTAGCACAGAAGTGAATTGAATAAAGATAAATGACTGTTTTGTGACTTCATGATCGTCACCATCTTCCCTGCGGTCACATCTTCATCTTCCCCGCTGTAGTAGCTAATCTGCACTAATCTCACTCCTGTCCTTAATGTCCTGTGAATCCCACAGACCTTCGCTCACCCCAACAGGCGTCTTGAAATGCGCTTCCGACCTCAGGACCCTTTCTGTCACTCTCTGTGCGGAAACCGCTTCCCATCAAGCAACCTGGTCCTCAGAGTGCGGCGACGCGTGCGAAAAAGGGACCCCAAGGACGCCGAGATCCACATGGAGATCCTCGGAGTCATAGGAACAACATACAAATTCCAAGGTTACATTTAAAGTCCTCACGGCGCACAAAGTTTATTTTCCTTTTCACTATTGTCAATGATATTGTTCTTGAATTGTGTAATATTGGGTTCTCTTTGTCATAAAGACATTGTTTTAGTATCTCAAAAATTGACTGATGTGGGAAGAAATTAAAATATTCGGGTGGTTGTTCTCATTGTTTTTCTGCAGGGATGGCAGACTTTCAGTGCCTCGCTGTGCATTCAGAAGGTGGAAAAGACACCTCTTTGTACGACAAAATCATCCTCCGCAAATCAGAGAATCAAGAGTTCTTTGAGCAGCCCATGCCCCTCTTTCTCCCACCCGCCAGCTTCTCCCGCCTCGACTCTCCTGTGGATTACTACTACCGGCCCGACATCTCTCAAACTTCCCCGTAAGGGAATATGTCACGACATTTGTCACTGTGATGCAGCTTATCTGCAGGAATCTATTCAGAATATTTTTCCTCCTTTTTTTTCCCCGTTTACAGCCAGGTGCCCAACAGCAAGAACAACTTTATCGGTTTGAATCGAGCTCGCCGGCCCCACAACGCCATTTTTGTCAGCTTCATGGATCCCACTGTGCCCACCGAGTGCCTCGAGGCAGCCAAGGTCAACTGGTTACGGGTGTGCGTGAAGGAGAAAGACAAGCAGGCTGAGGAACAATTGAAAAAGGTGTGTGTGGTTGCTGGTTACTGGAAGCACAACACGCTCTGTGATTACCAGGGTCACTAGTGTGACCTAAGGGTCATTTAGAACAGAAGGCACTCTGATGTTAGTCCTATGTTAAGCACAAATGTCATATATGTTTTGGTTCCAGCCAGACTATGTTTCGCATTTTAATGACATTACGTCGGTCTCTAGGAAATAGTGATGGTAATATTTTCTGATATTTATAAAAGAAAATTATTTGATTAAAAGAGCCAATCATTAAGTGAAGCCCTGATATTTTTCTCCCCCTGTTCTGTTCTCAATGTAAATAGTTTTTATTTTATTTTTGTCTCTCTGTGTGCATACTAATTTACTGTTGTTTTTGAAGAATTTAGCATTTTATGAAAGGGAATAGGGCATGTGAAAAGTCTCAGAGTTTCAGTTTACTTTCAGTGTTATTCACCAAAACACACTGTGAGGCCCAACACGCGTGCTGAATCCATCTTTCCTTCCTCGCAAGCCGTTTGCGAATGCTGAAACCTGCGTAGTTTACACTCACTCATGTGCGCGTGAACAAACAAAAAAACATCATTGCTCCATAGCACCACCAGAGTTCTTTTAATTACTTAAAAACTAAAAACTAGTGTAGCCAAACCATCATAAATAACTGTTTTCATTCAAGGAATGGCATCTGGTTGATGTCAGGAAATGTTCTTTTTACACGGGCATGACCTTTATCTTATCTGAAACCAAACTTTTTTTCCTTTTTTGTGCTTAGATGTTTGAGAGCCGACCCATCTGGTCACGAAATGCGGTCAAGGCCAACATCAACATCCACCCTGATAAACTGAAACTGCTGCTGCCCGTCTTCGCCTACTACATGGTAAGTGTGGGGGTCAATTTAAGGTGGAAAGTACTTGCTGTTCAATGTATTTTCCCTGAACAGAAATATTTAAAAATGGAAAATCTCTGTAGAAATAGATTCCAAAGCTGAAATCTATTGATTTGTGAATTTATAACATTGCTTTAGACTGTGGTGAATGCTCCAATCAAATTTGTATTTTGTTGTACAATTTTATTCCACTCCCCGTGCTTTTGTAGAGTGACTCCTACATTCTGTTCTCTGCTTTAATGAAAATAATGAAGTCCCAATTAAATCACCAATGAAATGTTCTCAAATTAAAAGGGAGAATCAACGTCTTTTTTCCGCCCAAATGTACGCTAACACAGCGATTTTCTCTTGAAGGTGACTGGACCCTGGAGGAGTCTGTGGGTGAGGCTGGGCTACGACCCCCGAAAGAGTCCAGACTCCAAGAACTACCAGATACTGGACTTCAGGATCCGCTGTAGCACCAAGCACGGTAAGAGCCTCAGGCAGTTACGGAAAGAGAATTTATTCAAATGTATCATCTACTGACTTACTTTGGGTTTTCCGTTTTTGGCATTTTTTTGTCTTGTCTTAATTGAAAATTCAAGCCCTGTCTGCCTGACACTGACTGTTGGTTCCTCTGGCTTCCTACTTTTAGGGTATTCATTATCTGACATACCAGTAAAAGCCAAGAGGAGTGCCCTGAACTACAGTCTGCCTATCACATTCAACAAAGCAGGTGAGTCTGTGAATTTATTCTGATGGAACTCACGTTAAGGAGCCTCAGGAGATTTTACTATTTGTACATTTCTATGGTCACATGATCCGTAGACCATCCAGTCATGTATGTCCACCACCTGTCTCTCACGATAAGGAAGTCCATATAAACATTTGGCACTTAGTGACCTCCGATTTTAAAAAGTGAAGCCTACGCTAAAGTGCCATAAACTCTTGCATTCTCTCTAATGTCCACCAGGGGCCAACATCTTTATTTATTACCTCAGTAAACATTGTAAACATGATTTTATGGTCTCAATCTCTAGTTTTTAAGTCTTCTTCAATATAGCATGATGTTCAACTAGTACATTTTGCTCCCATTTAGAGTCAAATAGACCACAAAGCAGGGTATGCTTTAGGGCGGGGCTACCTGGTGATTGACAGGTCGCTGTCAGAGTCATATACGGAGTCTCTACAACACTCCTCTTTAGTTCAAATATGGTCACTTCCACGCAATGGTTGCAAAAATGTAACTCCCTGTATTATCACCTAGTTTAGTTGTTTGTGAATTGCGTATGTTTAAATTAGTGCTGGGCAAGTTAACGCGTTAATTCATTATTTCTTTTTTTATTTTGAAAGTCCGTTGCTCACTGGCAGCGGTGGAGGAAGTCTTCGGCAGACTGCGTTGGATGCAGCGTGTGGGAGAAGTTTAGATAAACAAAAGCAAGACAAGCTAACAAATGCCACAGAGAAGTGGATACAAACTGCAGCCGATTAGTGTTGTGGAAGATGTCGGTCTGAGGAACGTTCTCACGGTGTGTTCGCGTCGCGTTTGGTGTGAACGCACCTTTAGGATCGCAACGAATGACGGCACGTATGAGCCTCAAGACGCACCGTCACAAGAAGAATACACGAGTTGTATGAGAAGGAGAGGACTACAACAGCGACGGCGTTACAACGTGCACCAGCTGTTGCTCTCACTGGAGACTACTGGACATCGCTGGGTACCTTCATCACCTCGGAGTTACAGCATTATATTGATGAACAGTAGAGCTGCATTCACATGCTCTGACTGTCGTGAAAACACAAGACACACATTTAGATGAGACGTGCTGATACATTGTATTCATGTTGCACAGCAGTGGAACGTTTCACATACAGTCACACACTGAGCACAGATAGTGCAAGAAATGCTACTGTGTAAAGGGAATACTGCTGCTAACAACAACCTGATGTGTTTAAAGTGTTTGCAAACCAAATGTTATTGCCCTTTTGTTCATATAGCAGTACTTTTGAAATAAAAGTGCATAATACACTACTTTTGAATAGATTATTGAACTTTGCCACAACAATGCGATTAATTGCAAAAAAATCATGCGATTAAAAATTGTAATCGTTGCCCAGCACTAGTTTAAATGTGTCTTCATGTTCATTAAATGTCGTGTATCTCAGGCTCAGGTCTTTATCAAGCGGGCTTTGTTTCCAGAGCCACCAAACTAAAAGGCATACTGCTGCAATAAATAGTTCAAACCATTGTTTCCTCAATAATCTCCACTGTCGTAGAAAACGCTGCTTTATTATTATTTTTTTTTTTCTAGGTCCCCAGGCAGCTAGTGTGATGGAACTTCCAGCTCAGGAGGGTCCAGGCTCCAGTCGAGATCCAGTCCCCATCACTTACCAGCTGAAGGTCGGTGATAGTTCATAATCACCTGCTGTAGTTACGTCACAACATTATTGGAGCGCAGCGCTAACATGCTAGTTTCAAGCTCTTCTTGGCAGAATCAGTTCCATGCTTAGATTTGATATTTTGTCTGTATTATTGAAATAATAATGTCATGTCTGGTGTTTTTAAACATCCAAACAGTCTGAATCTCCCGAAGCCAAAATGTTGAGATGTGAGGAAGTTTACCTATCGTAGTCATGGAAAACTTTCATTAAATGAAAACTGTGATATCGACCTCCACAGGAGTCGTCCTACATTTTCAAAGAGGGTATGCTGCCTCCTCACAGACAGATGTTTTACCAGCTCTGTGATTTGGATGTGGAAAGGTACGTTACAGTTCTTTGTTACCTAATGATCATTTTATAATAAGTACTTGAGGGAAATGAAACTGCTATCAGGGTATCGGCATGTGCTGAAATCTTTTTGGAAATGTGGTGTTTGTCTCAAATACAAGTGTAGTGTTATAAATTCAGTTTCAGGGACTGAAAGAAATAGCTCATTATTGACGGTCAGAAGAAGAAAGTGAAGGGGAATTAAGTAATTAGAACTTACTGCAATGAAAACAGCCATTTGTCCCCCCCTGCTGTGGTTGGTGTTCAGTGGTGGAAGCAAATACTCAGATCTTCTACTTAAGTTAAAGAAGTTTTTTTTATTTTGTCATATTTTGTATTCTAAATCTCTGCAAAGAAACTAAAGTTATAAAAAAAATATATATATATAGGCATGTAAAAAATAATATTTGACTCTGAAAAGTATTGGAGTAGAAGTATCTTACTTCAAGGACCAGTACATTTTACTTAATTGTCAACCACGGTGTGTCTCCAGTATCAGACGGGAGGTTGAACAGATGAATGAAGATGAGCAGCAGGTATGCGACGAGCGGGACGGCTGGTGTGTCCTCGGCACCACGGACAAGCTGAGGGACATAATCTCAGCCATGATCAAGACGGTCATCCGAGCCCAGAAACCATGTAAGGAAAATACCCAGCGCATGCCCTCATTCAGGGGCACTTCATGGACACATTCACTGCTAACAGTTGCACCGATAAAGCATTTTCCTCTTTCCATAGACACAACATGGCCAGGGCAAGACTTTGGCACCTGTAACAACTGAACACTGTGTTTAAAGCATTATTTTCTCTCCACCCAGCGTTGCCAGAATTCCCCAAGAGACGCAG